TAAGTTGTCTTATCTTCAGTGTTTAATGGGCTAATAAGCAACAACAAAAGAAGTTATTAAATTTGAGGAAACATTTTACAGTCAGTGTTATCTTAAAATCTAGGAAATAAGATTAAATAATAGCTATTTAGTTTTGGGATGCGCTATGAAAATACTTTTGAATGGTGTTCAAGTGAATCTTAAATGGATATGTTTATTTAAGCAATGAATTTTGCATGAAATGATTCATAATCTTGACAGTGAATATTTTTAACTGATTTTTTTTTTTTTTTTTTAAATTCAGGCAGGTCAAGAAAACAGAGCAAAAGCTTGAATGCAGTTTTTTTTGTGTGTGCGTGTAGGTTTTGTTGTTGTTGTTGTTTTTACTTTCACAAAATAATTTGAGGTACTTGCTGATTTACGCTTAGATCGATACAGACCAACTTAAAAATAATCAAAAGTCAGACTATAGCTTTGTTGGAATTACAGGGATCTTATGTCCATGTGTGCCTATGTATCTTTTCTTATAAAGCTTTTAAAAATTGTAAAATCAGTTCCTATAGTAACTGCAGTGCATTAGGTCACATCTCACCAGGTGGGAAGGGCTCAGTGTTCCAGACTGCCAGGTCTGCCCAAGCTGCAGGTATGAGGGACCTGAGGATGCCCACACTTTTGACCTGCTGGATACAAATGTGGAAGTTCTCATTGACCCCTCAGGACACTAGCCATAATCTTGGGAATCCCCATGACAACTTCACTTATGGCTTGCTGGTTACGAATTCAGGTTTAACTATTCACTGAAATAACTCAAGGAACTCAGAAAAGCACTGTACTTAATGACTACATTTTTATTATAGAGGGTACCAATAAAGACCAGCATAAAGAAGAGACGCATAGGGTTACTCTTAGGTGGATCTCCAGTACAGAGCTTCTATGTCTCCAGGGATACATGACTTTCTACGTATCTGTCCCCCACCAAGTAGCTCACCCAAGCTTTGATATTCAGACTTCTTTCTGAGGTTTGATTATATAGACATGATTGATTGGTACATTGCCCACATTTCAACTTAATCTCCAACTTCCCTCTCCTCCCCAAAGGTGGCCTGTTATTTAGCTTTGGGTTTTGGAGTCAAGGTTAGCGTAAGCTCTCCATGAATTACAAAATCAGTCCAGTCACTGTAGAAATTCCAAGGTTTTTGAGGAATTAAGGACAAAGACAAAATTCTTAAAGTAATTTGTCACCCCACAAAACTCATACAGAAATAATAGGCATCTTACTTATATGCAGGGATTTTTAAAGTTTGTGGGAAATTTTCATTACCTTCAAATTCTATTTTTTCCAGAAAAATGTTGAACTGCCCTTGTAATTCTCAATGAGGGAAGAAAATATGCCTCATAATAGTCACTAAAATATAAAAGTTTTAAGGGATCATGAAAGTAAAATTATATGGAGGTTTTGTATTTTAGAAAAATCTTAATATGACGGTGTAGGGTAAGCACTAAACTGGTAGCCACACAGTTGGCAGTTCAAATTCACCAGCTGCTCTCAGAAACTCTATATAGGATAGCTATGAGTAGGAACCAACTTGTCAGCACACAGCAACAACAACAGTGTTATTAAAAAGGCAGCTCTGATGACACTGTGGGTTAGGCGTTGTTCTATTAACCACAAGAATAGTGGTTCAAACCCATGAGTTGCTCCTTAGGAGAAAGATGAGACTGTCTGCTCCTATACAGATTTACCATCTTGGAATCCCTATATCAGATTGTTATGAGTCAGAATCAACTCAGTGGCTAAGGAGTTTTCTTGTTGTTTGTTTAATGTTATTAAAGGATTCCTGGTGGTGCAGTGACTAAAGAATTCAGCTGCCAACCAAAGGCCAGTTGAAAAGATGTGATAGTCTGCTTCCTTAAGGATTGACAGCCTTGTAAACCCTATGGATCCTATCTACTTTCTTCTTAGAGAATCTCTGAATTGTAATTGTCTTGATGGCAGTAGGCTTGGTTTGAAAGTTTAATGTTATTAACATTTCTGTGTTGCTGAATTCCCAATCTCCATGGAAACAAATGCTCTTCAGCAGTTTATACTCCCCTCCCCTAAACTGTCTGACTTAATCTGATCAATACCTATTGTACTTGTCCTTTTTAGCACAGTCCTAGTATTTTGTAACTTAAAGAAAAAAACGAAACTTTTTACTTTAAAATACTTTGGACTTAAAGTTGCAAAGATAGTATTTCCTTAATGACAACATAAAATTGGTACAATTACTAACTGAACTACAGGTTTTATTTAAAGCTTGCCAGTTTTTCTGCTAGTATCATTTTTCTAGTCCAAGATTCCATCCAGTTTCATTTATTCTCCATTGTCTTCTCCAGTTTCTACGTTGCTCAGTCTTCCCTGGTATCTCATGACCTTACTTAACATTCTGGAAGAACACTGGTTAGTTATTTTTTATAATGTCTCTGAAATTGAGTTTCTCATGATTAGAAGGAGGTTGTTCATTTTTGGCACAAATACCACAGAAATCATGTTTTTCCCTTCCCAGTGCATCACATCAGAGGCTCCATGATGTTCATAGGACTTAGCCCTGGTCATGCTAACCTTGATCACTGGTTTAGGTGCTGTCTGCCAGGTTTCAATACCAGTGGCTCTTACTTTTCCCTTTGTAATTAACTTTGGGGAGATGCTTTGAAACTATGCAACTCTCCTGCTTTTGCTTGAACTTTTGTCCGTTAATTTTAGCACCCATCCATGGATCTTGTGTACAGTCTTTAGTATTGTGAAGTCTGCCCAGTGGTGATTTTCTGCTTCTCTCTTCTTCATTTGTTAATTAGAATTCTGTAAGGGAAAGCTCCCTTGATCATTTGTTTATATCAGTATGGACTCATGAATATTTATTTTATGCTATCGGTTGCAGTCCAGTACTAGATCAAATTGTTTTATTGTGATTTTTAAACCAAAAATATATAAACAAGTATAAATATAATCCAGAGAAAGGAGAACATTTAAGTAATAAAAGCACTTGAAAAATAAGAACTCAAGATCATTTATAAGATAAATGTTGCTCATCAATAAAAGCGGAATGAAGCACTAGTACATACTCTAACATGAGTGAGCCTTGAAAATATGATGAGTGAATGGAGCCAGACACAAAGATCATATATTGTATTATTCCATTTATATGAAATGTCCGGAATAGGCAAATCCATAGAGACAAAAAAGTACATTAATGGTTTCCTAGATCTGGAAATATGTGTTAGGGGGATAGTGGGGAGTAACTGTGAAAGGTATGGGATTTCTTTTTTGAGTGATGAAAGTGTTCTAAAATTGACAATGATGACACATACTACAAACATATATTAAAATACTTTGCAAATATACTAAAAATGATTGTACACTTTAAATGGATGAATTATATCTTAATAAAACAGTTTTTAAAGAAGAAAAAGTAGTTAAAAGCAGCATGATTATTAAAAATTTACAGAACCATTTTTAATTGTATGATTGTTGTTGTATACCGCCAAGTCACTTCCAACTCATAGCAACCCTGTATAAGATTTCTGAGTCTGTAAATCTTTACAGGAGCAGAAAGGTTTATCTTTCTAAACCCATGGAGCAGCGGGTGGCTTCAAACTGCTGACCTTTCAGTTAGCAGCCCAGTATGTAACCCACTACACCAGGGCTCCAAATTCTATGGTATTGTTGTTAAGTGCCATTAAGTCAGTTCCAACTCATAGAGACCCTGTATAGGTGTTTCCAAAGAGTGGTTGGTGGATTTATACCATCAACTTTGTGATTAGCAGTCCAGTGCTTATCCTACAGCATGGCACCAAGATTCTAATTCTATGATGTTGTTGTTGTTAAGTGCCGTTGAGTCTGTTCTGACTCATAGTGACCCTGTAAAAGGTTTCCAAGGAGTGGCTGGTGAGTTTGAACCACTGATCTTGCAGTTGAAACTGACCTTATGGCCCAGTGCATTATCCTACAGTGCTAACACCAGTAGTATCATTATACTATGAATATTGGATACACTCAGCTAGGCAGAAAATATAACTATGTATAGAGTTATCAGCATATTTAATACTGTGGTACTCGTATTAAATTTTTAACTAAGTAGCAGAAATGCCTTAAATGAAGAAAACATAACATCTGAAAAGAAAAATAAATAGAAGTGAACTAAGATCGATGGTAATGGGAGCCTTTTGGGAAACTACTAAGAGAAAATAGATCATGAGTTCAAGGAAAAGAAGCTGGTGGTTCCAGAATGGGGAGTACTGTTTATGAACCCTTCAAAAATATGAAAAGTGAATCACCATAAAATAAAATTTTTTGTTGATATATACTACTTCTTTTCCAGGTTTTGTGTAACCATTGGGTTATGCTGCTTTCAGATATAGTGTTAGTTAGCTTTTCATACATTTAAGGGTTATTATTAGTAAATTTTAAATATATTAGCAGCTTTGTAATTATAACTGTAGGTACTTGATATTTTGAACTACTTGCTATTTGAATGTTATACAATTTCAAACTAGAGATATTAGACGTTTGCCTAGAGATAAAGGAATAGAACATATCTTTTATACTTCTTTTCGTGTCTAAAAATTAAAACAATCAACTGTATCTTTCTGGGGAAAAATAATTCCTTAGATGAAAGCCAACAGTTTTTAACTTGATTCTAAGTCTGTCGATGTTTATTCTATATCCTGAAAGAACTAGCGTAATTATAAAAAGTGCTTGCTAATTGTTTAGCATTTGTAATTCATTACTGCATTAAAAGGTAACTATTGATGTACTTTTTTAGGTTATATGAAAACAATAAGATAATGTATACAATGGTATCATGGTTTATAATATTTCCTTGTCTTATTACAAACATCTGTTATTTTCATTTTTATCTAAAAATGTGTGGTTAATCAGGGTACTTCACAGTAATGATTGAATGAGTTTTTCTATGCCGTGTAACCTCATATACAAGCATTAATTGTTTTTCTTACCATGTATTTTCCTTAAACTAACCTAGGGGTCAGGCCCAGCCTCTGGACCAGTAGTATCGCTGAATTCAATGAATGTGGATGCAGTCTGTGAGAAATTGAGACAGATAGAAGGACTAGACCAGAGTGTACTGCCCCAGTATTGCGCAACAATCAAAAAGGTGATCTACTGCATGCTAACTGGTAGACAGGGCCAAGGGTGCACAAGACAAGACTGTGGAAAATGGATAGTTTTGTATTTCACTTCTAAGATGGATTCTCTGTTGAAAAGAGAAAACTCTAAATGGAAACATGATTCTGACTAAAATAGGATATTATCCCATATTGTTGTTGTTGTTAAGTGCCGATGAGTCGATTCTGACCAATAGCGACCCTGTATAGGGTTTCCGTAGCGCAGTGGTTATGAATCAGGCTGCAAAACTACGAATCGGTCAGTAGTTCGAAACTACCAGCTGCTCCGTGGGAGAAAGATGAGGCTTTCTGCGCCCGTAAAGATTTACAGCCTCGGAAACCCTGTACAGGGTCGCTATGGATTGGAACCAACTCTACAGCACTTAACAACAACATAAGGTTTCTGAGGAGCAGCTGGTGAGCTTGAACCACCAACCATGCAGTTCAAACAGTTTTGCAGTCTGGCGCAGTAACCCACAGCGCCACACCAGGACTTACATACAGATAAAAGAAGCAATAGTTTACTACAGTGTTATTTTTAAAACATAACTTAATACAAGTCCAATGATGATAAATACAGAGGTCTAAAGAATTTCACATTTAGATTAATAATGATTCATCTTTCCAATGTGTAACATAGCATTTGAAGTCCTTCTATTTTAGGTTACATTTTCTTGAATTGGAATATTATTGTATGACTTAATTATCATAGTAAACTATATTTACTTCATATCCCTCAAATTTTCATGTTCATGTTTTAGGATGAGACATTTGATAAAATCTTCTAGGTTTGGGTTTGCAGTACATTTGAGGAATTTTATTTTCTCCTAGATCTTATTCTTACAATTCTAATAGCTACTACAAAGTTGGCTAGTAATGCCTGATACTGTGAGGAAACCTTCTTATAGATAAGGTAATTGTGACTGAATCTTAGTTAAAGTAGATATTTCTACTAAGGCTTTTAATATCAGCGTAAGAATACACAGAGTCACTGTACCAAAAAGAATTGGTTAACTTTCACCATTTCAGGAGGTAGCATGTGATCAAGACCTGATGGAAGAAGTCCAAGCTGTACTGAAGGTAAAAAACAAGACTCCAGGAATGAATGAAATACCAAATACCAAAAGGCAGGTGCAGTGCTGGAGGCATTCACTTGTCTATGCCAAGCAATTTGGAAGACAGATGGACCTACCAAATGAGTGGAAGAGATCCATATTTACACCCATTCTAAAAAAATGATAAAAGACACTCCAACAGAATGCAGAAATTATTGAACAGTATCATTAATATGACATACAATTAAAAATTTGCTGAAGATAATTCAAAAACAGTTGAAGCAGTCCCCACCAACGGGGAAGTGGCAGAAACTCAAATCAGATTCAGAAGAAGACATGGAATGAGGAATATCATTGCTGATATCATCTATCTTGACTGAAAGCAGAGAATACCAGAAAGATGTTAACTGAAGTCCTGGTGTTGTACTGTAGGATAAGCACTGGGCTGATAACAGCAATATTGGTTGTTTGAACTGACTACCCCTCCGCAGGAGCCCTGTGCTGGGTCACTTTGAGTTCGAACTGACTCGATGGCAGGTAACAATAACAACCAAGGGGCAGTCATTTAAATAAAACAAGATGATACTGTATGGTTTAAAATTGGGAAAGATAAGGTGTGGTTAGGGTTTTACCCTTTCACCATATTTATTCAACCTATATGCTAAGCAAATAATCCTAGAAGCTGAACTCTATAAAGAAGAATGTGGCATTAGGATTGGAGGAATATTCATTAACAACCTGCAGTATGCAGATGACATAACCTTGCTGTTGACACTAAAGAGGACTTGAAGCACTTGCTGATAAAGATGAAAGAATGCAGCCTTCACTATGGATTACGTTTCAAAATAAAAAGTCCTTACCAACTGGGCCAGTAAGCGACATCATGATAGGAAAAGACAAGGTTGAACTTGTGAAGGGTTTTATTTTACTTGGACCCACTATCAATGCCTGTGAAGCAGCAGAGAGGAAATGTATTGCATTGGGTATATCTGTGGCAAAAGATCTCTTTAAAGTGTTAAAAAGTAAAGATGTCACTTGGAGACTAAAATGCACCAGACTCAAGCCATGGTATTTTCAGTCACCTTATATAGATGAAAGATGATTGGCACAGTGGCAGCAGTAGTGGGCTCAAATGTAACATCAGTTGTGAGGATGGTGCAGAACCACATAGGGTTTTATGTGGGCATATGGTCACTTTGATTTAGAACCAACTCAACGGCACATAACACCAGCAACAATATATATATGTAAAAACTAGACAGTGAATAAGGAAGCCGAAGAAGACTTGATACCTTTGAATGGTGTAGAGGATATTTATTATACTACGGACTAAGTAGTGGTTATGGATTGGTCTGCTAACCTCATGGTCAGCAGTTCAAAACTACCAGCTGTTCCCACAGGAGAAAGATGAGGCGTTCTGCTCCCATAAAGATTTACAACCTTGGAAACCCAGTACAGGGTCACTATGAGTCAGAACCGACTCCACTGTACTTAACAACAGTAACAATAATGGACTGTCAGAAGAGTGAAAAATCTGTTTTGGAAGAAGTATAATCAGAATACTCCTTAGAAGCAAGGACGGCAAGGTGTTGTCTCATGTACTCTGGAAGAAAAAGGACAACTTACTTGTAAAGGAAGACTGTCAACCAGACAAACGGACACAGTGGCTGCAATAATAGGCAAACCTAAGAATGATTGTGGCGATGGCATAGGACTGAGCAGTGTTTCATTCCGTTGTACATAGGGTCACTATGGGTTGACACCAAGTCAACATTACCTAACCACAACAATTACAGTAAAGTAGAGCAAGACACCTATACAGGGTGGCTATGAGTTGGACCAGGCTCAACAACACTTGACAACAACGTTTATATACTTTAAAGAATGACATCTAAAAGAAGTTTTTAAAGAATTGTGAGCATAAGTCATTGCAATTTTACTTGTCTTAACCAGTAAGGTCAGCGGTTCGAAACTACCAGCTGCTCCGCGGGAGAAAGATGAGGCTTTCTACTCCCGTAAAGATTTACACCCTCGGAAACCCTGTACAGGGTCGCTATGGGTCGGAACCGACTCGATGGCACTTAACAACAAACAACAACCAGTAATTAGTGAGGAAGGGTTTTAGTATAAGTTTCTTATGGAGCTAGTTAATGCCAATATGTGTGAATAGAAGTCAAATACTGCCTTTCTAATGCACAAAGTTGTTGACTAAAGCAGCCGAGTGTCAGGAAAGAGTCAATCCTTTGTAGTGATTTTGCTTCCTTCACTACAGTGGCTTTCTTCCCATTCAGTCTTTACTCACAGTCCCCCTAGCCTTTTGAAGTCCATTATGACACCTGCTTTTCCTTGCTAAGCGATGCAGACTTCTTTGCAGTTCTAGAGCTGAACCTCTACCCAGATTTGCTCTGTACACTAATTTTGAGATATTCTATAATTTTTTCATAGTTCATAAAATCAGGTCATATGTTTCATAAAATCAATGTGCTACCTATTATTCATAAAGAAAATTCTACTGCTTCCTATTTATTTAGGAGAAGCTAGAATTACAGTGATAAGATTATTTTTATGATATTCAGATGTTGAAACTAATGTGAACAATGGGTGAACATTCTTTATGACAGAAGTTATCTGATATAGCTGGTAGACAAGTTTACCAGCTCATCCTTCATGTTAGACTTCATCTGAGACTGACACACGAGGACGAAAGTTTCTCCCTTCCTAGCAGCTTGCATTCATTTTCATACTTTATTAAATTAGAGGAAAAAAGTATTTAAAGTTGCTCCTAGCAGGATTGATAATTTTGGAAATAGTTGGGAGGATTAACTCTTAGGTTAGTTCTTAAAGAGTCGTCTGTTTTTCTTTAATGCTGAATTACTAGGAAAAATATGGGGTGGCTTATGTGGTTCAAATTCAGCTTCTTTATAATTACATGAGATGACAGCCTTTTATTAGGTCAGTCTTCTAGTTCTAATGACTTTCTTTAAAACTAAATCTGAATGTACTTTTTAATCACTACTAACTCAAAATGTTTCACGTTTGTCTTTATAATCTTTATTTATACTCAGGCAAATATAAATGGCCGTGTGTTAGCTCAGTGTAACATTGATGAACTGAAGAAAGAGATGAATATGAATTTTGGAGACTGGCACCTTTTCAGAAGCACAGTAAGATTTTTTTTTTATGTATAAAATCATTTACAACATGTCATAAAACAAGTGCCGATATAATTAGTACTGGCTTTAACTGGTAGTTTTCCATATTAAAACATTTTTGGAATTGCATCTCACACTGATGTAGAGCCCTGTTTTATGGAGCAGATACGCAGCAATGATTGACACCCTTTGCCTGTTTGCATTTCACTTAGAAATTTGGGAAAGAGGCTACCCATCAGCTCTCCAAATTTTCATTCTAGTTGTGTTTTATTTTGTTCTCAAATTAAATTTTTAACTAAAGAAAGAACATAATGGTCAAGTTAGAGTGTATGTGTGTGATGATTATTGCCATTGCTTATTTTGTTGTTAAGTGCCATCGAGTCTGCTCTGAATCATAGCTACCCTGTATAGGGCTTCTGAGGAGCAGCTGGTGGGTTTGAACTGCTGACCTTGTAGTTTGCAGCCCAGTGCTGATCCTATAGCACCACATCATTTTAGTACGAATTAAAATTCAAGTTGGAAATGTGGTGGCTCCATACAATAAGCACCGAACTGCAAGCCACAAGATGCATGGTTCAAGTCCACCAGCCGCTCTGAGGGAGAAAGATGAGGCTTTGGAAACCCTATACAGGGTCACTATAAGTCAGAATCAACATGACAGCACTTAACAAAAACAACATAAAAAATACTAGTTAGGCAAATGTAATACCAATTCATTAGAAATTCTCTTACAGGAAGGTTGCTATCTCATTTTTTGTTTTTTGTTTTTAGCACAAGAGTTTTTTTAATTGGATAATTATTCAGTGTTTAATTTAAGAATTAAAGGCATATATCAATTAAGGAACCCACGTACATAATTCATTTTGGTAGAGAGAAGGTTGAGGAAGGATTCTGAAAATCTTGGAATCTCCCACAAGACTCTCATCTTGTTTTGGACAGATAAACTAGTAGACGTATTTTACTCTAATCCCTGCAGGAGGACATTAATATCTTTTGTGAAAAAAAAAATGTCTTCATTCCCGAGATCCTTTGTGCTAATACTTGATATTCACATCAACACAAACCATTGGAAAAATAAATAAATAAACATAAAATCCTGGAAGTTATTGTAGCCAGTTCTTGTGCTCAAGACTGATTGTATTTTTTTTTTAAAGGTTTTACTGTGAAATGAGTGATAGGATGAGTGCAAAACTGATGTTCTCCCTTGTATATATATCGTGTTTTGTTCCATTGCAATGATTACAGTCCCCTCCATGCATCATCATTTACCAATATTTGCTTCTATTCTGTTTTTGTTTTGCTTTTTTGATGTACACAAAGACACTCAGGAGTATGTAGTCATTTAAACAACTAAAGAGCACATTCTACACACCAGCCTCCCACTGTAGCAACTTTTTAATGTTTTATTTTCTAAAACTATTTCCAAAGCTTCTAAAATGTGGTTTGTTATTGTGGATGTTAATGATATTTTATTTTTCATTAGATACTAGAAATGAGAACTGCAGAAAGCCAGGTAGTCCCTGAAGACCCACGTTTACTTAATGAAAACAGCAGTGGCCCCGTTCCTCATGGTGAACCTGCTCGGCGTTCTTCACACAATGAATTGCCTCACACCGAACTTTCCAATCAAACTCCCTACACACTAAACTTCAGCTTTGAAGAACTGAATACGCTTGGCCTAGATGAAGGGGCGCCACGTCACAGTAATCTCAGTTGGCAGGTATTTATTAATGTCATTTTTTCTATTACTGAAGAATAAGGGTAATATTTAATTCACTGAGAAATTGTTGGTGCATTTATACAGTTTTTCAGAAAATAATGAGTACCTAACTGAACACGATGGAGGGACTCGGTGTTCTCATGGAGCTATGTTCCTCAGTGAGACGGTTGGTAAAACAAAGAAAAAGAGCATTTCAATAATTGTTAAGAACTTTTGAAGACAATAAAATAGGTCATGGCAATGAGAGCAAATAGGAACCAGCTACTTTAGTTACAACTAGGAAAGTTCAGTGTTTCTCTCGCTGTTTTCCTATTACCTTTAATTCGTTGATCATTAAAATATTTCCTTAGTGGAAAACTTCCATCATTAACTTAAGCACCATAACTTGTTTTTTAAGTACATAAATACATTCTGTATGGCTGTTTGTTTTCTTTTTCTTATCTGATATTAGGTATAGGTAAGTTCTTTCTGTGTTCATTAGAAGAGGGAGGAAAGGTGAAGAATGGGAATAGAAAAAAAAAGCAAGAAAAATATGAGAAAAGGAGTAAGAAGGGAAGAAGGATAAAAGTAAACTAGGATAAACAAACAGAACAGGATATAAAAGAGAGAAGATAAGTAATCTGGAAAAGAGCAGGGAACGCCCATCTGAAAGGGAGCAGTAGCTAGCAAAAGCAATGCCTGGGGGTTCTATCAGTTTAAATGAGTGTTTATGTGTTGTTTGGTTGGTAACTAGTAAAATACTGGGGGTCAGGGTTGGATTATCTTTTGTCTCCATACTGTCTACTTAAATTGTTTAGGTTGGAGAACTATTTTATTATCTAGTATTGATTATTAATATTTGTTTTTTTAATCCTCTCTTATTAAAACAGAGTAAGTCCACGTTTGGGTCATCTTTTTCCTGTTTCAGTAACTGGTTCCTTTCTTTCCTTTGAGATTCATTTTGAAATACTGTAAGATGTCCTCATCTTCATTTTTCCTGTTTCCTACTATTACCAGAAATTCAGGCCCTTCACATTCATGTAGCAGTTCTCAGGTTTTTTAAATCTCTGGATACCTTTACACTGTTAGAAATTATTGAGGACCCCAAAGAGCTTTGTCTATATAAGTTAAAGCTATAACTATTTACAACATTAAAAACTAAGAAAAAAGTTTTAAGTATTAAAAGTTTAAAGTTGTTTATTAAAATGATCAACTTTATGTTTACATAAGTATTATTTATGAAAAATAAGTATATTTTCCAAGAAATAACTAAATTTTCACTGTCATCTTGAAAATCTCTTTAATACCTGGCTTTATTATAGAAAACTAGATTCTCATATCTGCTTCTGTATTACATTTATTGTGATATGACATATATTTGTTGTTAAGTGCCACTGAGTCGGTTCCAACCTATAGCGACCCTGTATAGTTTCCGAGGCTGTAAATCTTTATGGGATCAGAAAGCCTCATCTTTCTCTCGCAGAACCACTGACCTTGAGGTTAGCAGCCCAATTTGTAACCACTATACTACCAGAGCTCATATGGTATTTGTGGTTATGTGCCATGGAGTCAGTTTGACTCATAGCGACCCTGTGTATGGTTTCTGAGGCTATAAACCTTTATGGGAGCAGAAAGCTGTATTTTTTTCCCACGGAGCAGCTGGTAGTTTCGAACTGCTGACCTTGTGGTTCGCAGCCCGATTCGTAACCACTACGCTACCAGAGCTCCCTTCAGAGCTCATATACTCATGTGAAAAAGTGAGGAACACCTTAGTATTCCATTGAAAATAACTCTGACCCTTATGTTGTTGTTGTAGAGGAGTGGCTGGTAAGCTTGTACTGCCAGCTTTGCAGTTCATACCAACTTTGCATTTCAAAGCATTAACCCACAGTACCACACCAGGACTCCCTGAAAAGTAGACATAAGAAACCATAGGGTGTGTACAGGCTGCAGTTTGAAAACCACCACAGCATGGGTGAATGATGTTGGAACATTTGTCACCAACAGGAGAGGATCTTCTGAAGAAAAAGAGAATATTTTCTCCCTATGCAAGACTTTGCCTAGTTTCTACTTCTTTGTTTTTATCTTTTACTTTTGTCCCTTTTTAATCTTCCTTGACTCTTTTTATCCTGTTTCCTTCTCTTTCTTAATCTGTACTTTTTCTCATTTAGTAGCTCTTCTGGTATCTAAAGCAATTCTAATCATAAAATTTCATATTGGAAATCAAGCTTTTAAAAACAACTCATTTCTCTCTTTACTAGAGTCCCAACTATTTGGGCTCATGGTTTCGATTTTATTCATTTGGATCCTTTACTGATTACACTCTATTCCTTTAAAACTATTTGAAATATATTTTCTTTAATATATTTCTTTAAATACATTGTTTTTCTGTCAATTAAAATTTGACAAACTTTCTGTCATGAAACTTGAGAAATGGTTCTTTAAAGCATATATTGGAGACCTTAAGTATTTTGGTTTTGAGATATATCAGATATCTCTTCTACGTTTCTTCTAGGAGGAATTTTTATATTTTGTCAAAATAAATATTTTTGCCTTAAATAACTAAAAGTTTAAAATTTGAAATTATAAGAAGACAAGAATTCGTAATGTTTTTTAATACAACTTTGTTATACTTTTAAATATTAACAGAAAATTATTTCAAGTCCTATAAAACTTTCTAGTAGGAGTGTTTATAAGTACATAGCTTTGGTTAGTGTGTGTATAGAATTATTTTATAAAACACTTGATCTTTTGAGAACTTTTTTATGCTTGGTGTACGTAAGTGTTTTCAAGCTGAAACTTATTATGCCTTTTTTTGTTTGCTATTTGAATCCTTAATTTTTTTTTTCTGTTTTTACAGTCACAAACTCGCAGAACCCCAAGTCTTTCAAGTCTCAATTCCCAGGATTCCAGTATTGAAATTTCAAAGCTAACTGATAAGGTGCAGGCTGAGTATAGAGATGCCTATAGAGAATATATTGCTCAGATGTCCCAGTTAGAAGGGGGTACAGGCTCTACAACAATTAGTGGTAGATCTTCTCCACATAGTACATATTACATGGGTCAGAGTTCATCTGGGGGCTCCATTCACTCTAACCTGGAACAAGACAAAGGGAAGGATAGTGAACCAAAGCAAGAAGATGGAAGGAAGTCATTTTTAATGAAGAGGGGAGACGTCATAGATTATTCATCATCAGGTGTTTCCACTAATGATGCTTCACCCCTGGATCCTATCACAGAAGAAGATGAAAAATCTGATCAGTCAGGCAGCAAACTTCTTCCAAGCAAGAAATCCTCAGAAAGGTCAAGTCTCTTCCAGACCGATTTGAAGCTTAAGGGAGGTGGACTGCGCTATCAGAAACTTCCAAGTGATGAAGATGAATCTGGGCCAGAAGAATCAGATAATACTCCACTGCTCAAAGATGATAAAGATAAAAAAGTTGAAGGGAAAGTAGAGAGAATGTCAAAATCTCCAGAACACAGTGCCGAGCCTATTAGAACCTTCATTAAAGCAAAAGAATATTTATCAGATGCACTCCTTGACAAAAAGGATTCCTCAGATTCGGGAGTGAGATCCAACGAAAGTTCTCCCAATCACTCTCTTCATAATGAAGCGGCTGATGATTCCCAACTTGAAAAAGCAAATCTCATAGAGCTTGAAGATGATCACCACAGTGGAAAACGGGGAATACCACATAGCTTGAGTGGCCTTCAAGATCCAATTGTAGCTCGGATGTCCATTTGTTCAGAAGACAAGAAAAGCCCTTCTGAATGTAGCTTGATAGCCAGCAGTCCTGAAGAAAACTGGCCAGCATGCCAAAAGGCCTACAATCTGAATCGAACGCCTAGTACCCTGACTCTGAATAACAACAGTGCTCCAGCTAATAGAGCCAACCAAAATTTTGATGAAATAGAAGGAATTAGGGATACTTCTCAAGTCATTTTGAGGCCTAGTTCCAGTTCTAACCCAGCTGCTATTCAGAATGAAAATCTGAAAAGCATGACGCATAAGCGAAGCCAGCGCTCAAGTTACACAAGGCTCTCAAAAGATTCTTCAGAGCTCCATGCCTCTTCTGATAGTACAGGTTTTGGAGAAGAAAGAGAGAGCATTCTTTAAGAAAAGAAAAAGAATAATATTGTCATACCCCTATGGCAAAATTTTCTTGAGTTTTATACTGGATCTATTGATGCCCATCATCATTGTATCATTTATAAATAATTAACAAATGATACAGCTGTTAGTAAAAGAGAGAGTGATATATTATACAACAGAAGAAAGTGTAAGAAGTGATTCATTAATCAGCTACTATTGGACCAGTTACTGGGGAACGATATCATGTTTGGTAAGGTGGAGGGTCAGAGAAAAAGAGGAAGACCTACCCCCACCCCCACCCCACCCCCAGCGAGATAGATTAGCAAAGTAGCAGCATCAGTGGGCTTAAGCTTGGCAACAATTGTAAGGTTGGCCCAGGACCCCGGCAGTGTTTCTTTGTTCTGTTGTATATAGGGTCGCTATGAGTCTGTACCGACTCAATGGCATCTAACAACAACAACATTTGTCTTTGCAATTAGAAGCTTAAAATTTATTACTGATATCGTACCTTTCATTGGCACATAATCCCTCAAATTTTTTTGAGATGATATCTAGTATAAAGTTTTAGTAAATTTAAAGGGCTTAATTTATGAAGGAAAAGAAAGCTAGAGATTCTTTTGGTAGGACATTAGAAGGGCTTGTTACGTAGAAGATACGACTTTAGATGAATCAGATGCAGATTTTGCTCTTAACTCTATTTAGGTTAGATTTACAGATTATGAGATATCCTAGAGATTAAAGGTAAATGCTTGTAAACTGAGAATCAGTGTTCTATATAACAGGCAAATTGTTTATCAAGGAGGTTTTAAATTTTAAGTAAAAAATATACATAATATAGAGGGCTTTGAAAATGGAAAAGAAAGTGTAAAAAATTGATAAGTGAATCAACAGTACTCAAAGTGGTGTTCCCAGTAACGCTGGACCTTTATGAGCTACTATGAGAGTGACTTGGGACAAGGGTCCAGTAATCTCCACATTACATGGATGCTCTCTCAAAATCTCAGACTTGGCTTATACCTGTACCATCATTACTTGTGCCCAGGAACCCATCTTGGTCTGCTCTGCAACACTTTTTCAGATTGTGAGCCCAGCTTTTCCTCATGAGAATTGCAATGAGGGTGAAAAAGCATGAATGCTTTCTCCCGAGAATCTGGGTACTAATACGCATGAATAAATCTTTATGGTATGAGAGAGTGAGAAATAATTGCACCAGAAAAGTCTATGACAATTCAAGGAAATAATTAGGTAAAACTGAACATCATTTTCTATACCAAGGCAGAGTTTGTCTACTTTATCTGATCTTAAGTCAGCATGTTAATTTGAGGGAAGAATCAGAATTTTTCTTTTTTTTTTTTTTTCCCTTGGTTAAATGTATCAGAGCGAGGGTTAGAAGATATAAGTGGTGTTACTATCAAACTTTATATGTTCCTTTCACTGTTAGCAGAGTAAAGAGAATAATCACATTTAAGTATTGTGTAGACTGGATAGTACCCTGTTCTCATGCAGTGAAAATATTTTGTGTTTTTAATGTAGCTTATTTATGAAGAATTAATACTGGCAATCTCTTCTAAGCCTTAGCATTTTAGATGGTGAGGTTGTAGATGTATGATTATTTAAATTTAGTGTTATATTTGTATGTTTCTCAATGGAGTTTTCTTAATATGCTGAATAAATTACTACTTGCCAAGTCATGACACTAAAAAGTGGCTCTCTTCTGTTTCATTGCTTTGAGGTCTGAGTGGAGCCTAAGGGTTTCACAAAGTGTTTATTTTGCATGACCTTAACAAATGTTTTAACCAGTTTTTTAAAGGGCAGGGTGTTACTGACATTGTACCTTGAGATGTTAACATTTGCATATTTATAGTGTTCATTAGTTTATAATATTGTATGACTAGTTCTTATTTCATAAGCAGTATTTTCTTCCTTGTCAGGTGAGTAGCTGCAGTTTAATATCATTGTAGTACAATCTCTCTACTGTTTGTAAAATCAATACTAGAGTATTACATGTACAAATAGATTTAGAAAACAATAAAAAAAAGATAGCATGCTATTCTGACTCATGAATTTTTATTCACTACAGTAATGATTCAAATTTTGATAAAAATTTAAACAGCAATTTGTGGGGTTTTTGCTTGCTTTGTTTTGAGTTCTTTGTTTTTGTCATCTCTCTAAATTCTGTTGAAGGCCTTTAAGTCCATGTAGCAGTTACCCAGTTGAGAGGACCCTGACTGTTCTGACTGCCTCACTAGACGTTGCCTCTTAATTCCCAGTGCCTTTTTGGTACTTTCATGAAAAATTCGTGACCATAGCACAATACAATGCTTTTGTACATTTCTGTAGCTATATAAAATGCAGGCTATCCAGATCCTAGGGGTTTTTTAATTATTACATGTACATCCTGGGAAAGTTTGCTTTTTTATACTGATACATAATTGATGAGACTGATGGGTTATCGATTCATTCTATCATCCCTGTGAATATGTGTGTGTATCTTATATGTACAACTTATAATACATAGTTTCTGTTTGGTGTCCACATACATAAAACTCTGTCTTCAGTTGGATGAAAATGGATAGAAAAGAATATCAGTGCACTAATTGTGCATTTTTCTTGATTCGGCCCCATTTAGAGTTGTATATTTTATAAACTATTTGGCTTTCACTTTAGGTGGCAGATAGTCCTTTTATGCAGCATAACGTTAAACTACATGTCGTAGCTTGATACTAAGCCCATCTACCTTGGCACTGCAGAACGGCACCTCTGACAGCCTGTCTGCAGAGGAGGAAGGAAAAGAAGCCGCTGGTGTGTCTCAATTACTGTAATTCTCACAGTGCTGTTGTTTAAGGATCAATTCTTACATTGAGGGAAATGGCAGCATTCATAACTAAACCAACATTTTCCATAGTAGCAGAGAAAATTGTCTTTGTTATATTTTACTTATGTGAGTTTTATATAGTGGTCAGAATAATTTTAATTACTTAACCAAATAATTTTGTAAACATGTTTGCTAAAATTCTCATCTTTAGTGAAGAAGTCTTTAGATCATTTGCATGTTATAGCGCTATAGAAAGATACTTATAATCATGATTTAAAAAAAATAAATACTAACCATTAGAAAAAAGAGTCTATTAAAATTACATTCTTCAGGCTAAAACACTAAATCTTAATGTCTTAAGACCACATAATTTTGGGTTATACCAGGAATTCTCAGCCTATTTAGAAGTATCACACAATTTTTAAATCCCTGCATTCTAGGCTAACTCTTGAGTCAAACACTGGAACTCCCAGAAAAAGAGAACACTAGAGGACATGTTTCCCTTCCCTTATGGGTGAGTGGGATTGAAGGAATAACAGGAGCAATAATATTTAGTTTCTGTGGAATAACATTTATTCAGAGACTTACTGTCTAGGCCCTGTTATTTTCCACTTCCCCTCCTAGACTGACAATGAAAAGGGAATAAACAGGTAGGGATGCTTATTTGCTTGGTGTAGGGGTAGGCAAACTTGGACGGGTGATCTGGAATGATTGGATTTTAAATTTCCAGATTGTGGTACCTGCTACCTTGCCTACTTAACAATTTTAAGTATAGGCCATGATTATGCAAATTTAAAAGAAAAATAGACATTTGTAACCAAGGAAATACATTTAAAGAAAATATATGACTGGTATTGGGTGGTCTTTTAATGATTTATCTGGTAAAGGTTGAGAATCCCTGGTTGAGACTAACCAAGAAGAAAGAAACCTTTAAATCTTACATCATTTTAAACCCTTTCATGCCTAGGAAGAAAATGCTGCCTTTGAAATAGATAGTTCTTCAGAGGATCCATTTTAAACTAAGGTATGTGAAATATTAGTTTTCAAAGTCAGTTTTAAAACAACTGTTGAAAGCACATCTCACGTATTTTAAAGGATTTATATTCTCACTTAACTTCAAGAAATAAGTAAGAAACATAAAAAGTGATTGTTAGAAATTAACCACTGTCACCTACATGGTCAAAGCTTTTTAAGCGATATTGCTTATAAAGCCACGGCTGTGGTTAATGCTTTCCTTGGAGCTTGCTGAGCCACAGGTCTCTGCTATGGGGGAAATGTTTCTTCACAGGGTTCTCTGGAACCTGGCTAGTAAAACTTGTGGAATGGAATACATGTGACCATAGGGATAGCACCGTCCTGAATTTCTAGCACAGTGAAGTACTTTGGGAATGTAAAAATATATAAGAAGAGGGAAGGAGATTCTTTCCAAACTTAGTAGGCTGAGTCTTGAAAGGTCAATGTCAGGGTTTTGTCCTAATTATAATGATGTAAAATAAAGGCAGTGTTACTATTTACAAACCACAAAATATTTTGACTTTACCTCTGGAGTATAATCAGCAGTCGTTTACAAAGAATACATGTAAGTCCTTGATATTCTTAGGTTCAGGATGCTTTTTGCAGCATTATTTACCCTAGAGAGATGGATTAGGAACCCTTTCTTAACATTGCCAGGATTTAACAAAATGTAGAAAAACGTATCAAAGAGAATTAATAAAACTTGAATAAGTGACATTCTACTTTTTAAATACACAGCATAGAACTATATTCTATATTCAAATTAAGAAACTATTTGAAGTAATTAAGGTAAGTCTTGAGTAGCCACTATCATTTTTTAATTTTAATATACTTTATACCTACTTACCTCATTTTCTGTCAAGCCACCCAGGGCTCTAAATCTTAGCACCCTGCCTATAGACCCAAGCAACATTCCTTTCTCTTTCCCCTGACAGTTCCGTTAACCTTGTCACAGTTGGCCTCCTCACCAACTAGAAGGGGGCAAAGAAGATCCTACCTGTTGTTCAGTATTCCTGCCATCCAGTCCATTGGAGAAGAGAGATCTGTTCACTTATACCAGTTTTCTTTGTTCTTGATAGTTTTAGAATTTAAATTAGTCTTAATGAAGTGTTTCTTTTATGAAATTTTAGACAAAAACCCAAGCATGTAAATAAGTTTTATATAATCTGATATTTCATACCTTATAGCATCTTCT